ATATATATATATATAGCTTCAATAAATTAGCATTTGGGGTACCATACTACAGTAAAATTTAACACCTACATAGCGTAGAAAACCTTTTAACTAAAATTGAAAAATGAAGCTAATTAATGTCCAATCTCTGCTGTTTATTACTGAACCATACTAGATGTATGAAAATACTTGGTAAATGATTATTTAACTTGGCTCATTTTGTTGCTGTGCTAGTCTTCTGGGAAAACCAGATGGTTCAAATTACTAACTGCCTTAGTTTACAAAATTGAAGTGTAGCTGACTTTTACTTAGATCAGATTTATTTGTCAGCCACTTTCAACTTTTTCAGAGTTTGGATCACAACATTTTCTTGAATTATTTCTGTAGCAATTTCACTACCTCAAACTTTCTCGCTGAAGCAAATAATATTTAGGAGATACTTACACATCAAAAAGCAACTGAATACCAGCTGAAATCTTCCAAATACTATTGTTGATTTGAAAGTGTCGAGAGATGTGAAATTAAGAGCAGGTAACCATAGGGACCGAATTGTTTCATTTTTCATTCCTGCCCCAGACAGCTGCTACGGGACAGACATCTCTGTTCAGTTATCACCACACTTTGCACAGAGCCCTTTCAGTCAAATAATTTCTGGCACACAGGACAGAAGTAGAACGTGGCTCTTACCCTACTCACATAGCTACAACCAACCCATTTACACTGCTACATGCGAGAAATATGAACTTGGTAACTCAGGCTTCGTAGCTCAGTTCTTTTTATGCTTTTGATTCTCGGTTTTCTGTCTTTGGGGCAGCTTTTTAAAGATAATATTACATCCCTGGGGCCTAATTTATACTAACATTAGCTTGTAATGGATAAAACAAATGTGAGATTTTGTAATAAATAAGTAGCACCATTTCAGATGAACCAGAACACCAAGAGGCCTGGATATAACATACAGTATGCTTAAAAAGTATGGGGGCCATCACTATGGAAAAGAAAGATGTGACACCCTGAGTTCAGGAATATGATTTGGCAAATGATCCAGACCAAAAAGCATTTTCAAGAGAGAATTCTATTCCCTGAAGCAATTTCCAACTTGTGACTTGGATTTTCTAAAAACTGTGCAATGAATTTGTGAGGTCCCACACTAGACCACACAAAATGACTCTGCTAATTGGGGTAAAAAAAATCCGTCATACTTGACAAATGCATGTTAACATTTTTATACATACTGGCGTCCGCGTATTATGATCGTTTTTGATGGGATTCTATTTCAGAAGAAGTGGAATCATTGAGGTTTTGAAACATTTAAAATATGAATAACTAGCATTATCATTAACAAATAAAATGTAACCTCGCTCTTTGACAGTATCACGCAGGAATAAATTCAAAAGTATAAATTTTCTAAATAGTAGAGAAATTATCATTGACAGCAAGCTTTATTTAGATTTCAGAATACTTTAAGTTCAAACCCTGTAACTCATTGCATCCTCTTCTGTCTCCTGAGGCAGGTGTTCTAGCCCACACACAGGTGCCTTCAGCTTATAGTGAAGGATCTTTACAATAAATTCAGCCAGTGAGAGGGCGGGAAGATTGAATCACTGTCTGTTAAAACACACCAGGCTGGTTTCACTCACATTACTCTATCCATTGATAGCATATTGTATATAATTGACTTAAATACAATTTGGTCCTATCTTGCAGGATTCTGAGAGCAAAATACAATGCACATGAACCTGCACTGAGTCTGCAATATTCTTAATAAATGTTAGCTAATTTAATTGCATATTTCCTGGAGTGTATTCTCAAAGATATGACGTACTTTGTTGTAGATTTTTAAATTTGTACTTTGGGTATCAACACAGTTGGAAAACAAGGGAGGGCAGAACGCCTGGGCAGAGGGAAAAGTCCTCTCCACAGGAAGCTGAGAGTTGTGCCCAGGGGATCTGGGTGACCAAGCCCCTCCCATATTGATCAGTCATTGGATGTGCCCGGAGCCAGGCAGATTTCAATGGTTGCCGGCTTCCTTATTCGAGCTTGGTGGTGTTAGGGCCAAGACTAAGAGAAGGCGAGTGAGGAAGACTTCACGGTGCAACAATGTAAGGCTCACCAAAAACTCAGGTGAGTGAGATAACGAGCGTTTTAAGGCATTATGCTTTAAATCAAACTGAATGCAAAAATCCACGATGAAAAGCTAGTGTCATTTAGACAGAGATCTGTATTTGTTTATTTTTTGACGGCTCTGGAACGGTAACGGTGTTTTTCATTCAGGACGCTGTTCTCAGCACCGTATCCTCACCCTGCGTTTAAAAATATGGAAGCCGTTGATAAGCGAAAGCAGAGGCCCACTTTTTCCCTTTTATTGCAGGCTCTGATACAGGGCATTGCAGAGCTCAAAGCCATCTTCAAGATCATCCCGGCTTCGGTGACCAGTTCCTTGTTGAAGTCACACCTGGAAAGCCCGGTAAAGTGTCCTCCACAGCTTCTCATACTACTGAAATTGAAAATAATATTCAACTATGAAGTTTTCATTTATAGTACATGGTAAATGTACTCAGCTCCAGATTCGATGTTTATCTCTCAGAATGATCAAATGTTGTTCTCATCTGTTACTGTCGCTTGTTAATATCTAAATATGTTAGATGTAGCTTAATATTACATTTTGGTGAAAAATTAGCAATTTAGCTTCCAGCCTCTTAAAGGAAAAGTAATGGAAGGTATGCTAATTTCTTATTGATAGCAATGAATTTCAACTCCCTTCCCTATAAAATGAGGAAGCTATGCTAGGTAAATTTTCAAGTCTCCCCTAATTTTTGCTTTTAAATATTTTATTGCATTATTTTGTGAAGGCCCAAAGGTCCCCCTTTAATGTTTTGTGGTGCTTTTTTTGGGGGGGGGTCCACCAAATCCTTCTAAAGTGGACTTCATAGAGTTGTATACCACCTAAAATAACCCAGGCCGTCAGACTTTATGAATTGCTGCAGTTTATTTTAGTCACTCTTTACAGAGTCATCAGCTTTTATTAATTGGTGGTATAATTACAGCTAACGCTAATGATCTTCTCCATCCACTTATTTTCTTCCAAACTCCTAAGATTGGATAATCAGTTCATTCTAATTGCCTAAAGCTGTGTTTAGTGAAGAATTAAGAGAGCAGCAGGAAGGAGAAAATGCTCAAATGCGTTCTCCAACAGCAACTTAAAATGTGTCCTCCCAGAAATTCACAGGCTGGGAGCAACACATTCGGAGTCTCGAAGGAGAGCGACTCGGTGGCACACAGACCTGTAAATATGTTGTTTGGTCGTTCATTTTGTATGTTTTCCCCAAATGGATTCTTTCTCGTTGCACACTCATTGTCACACATCTTGGGGAGAGCTGGTGAAAAGTGAAAATAAATAACATTTGGGAAAGGAACTGGCTCTGCTTCGAGTGGAGGACCTGAGTTCACTGTGTCTTTTCCACATTTATTGGATTTGCTTAAGGATGTTGAGATGATCGGAGACAGTCTCCAGTTCTGTGACATGCACAGAATTCAAACGCCAATTCTGTTACAAAGAGCTAAAAAAGTAAAAACCAAATCGGCAATGATGATGAATGGCTCTTGTATTACCCTTGTGATCTGTTTGCCAGAATTGGATAACCGTTAGCAAAAACTGCTATTTTTAATTTCACTTGTCTCAAACCAGGAGTGTGTTACCGCGAGAGTGTTGATTCCCCTGTTCTAATTCCCTAATCTGAAGAAGAGGAAAAATGGTTCATTTCACAAGTCGTTTTCAGGAGGAAGTAAATTCTCAAAGTGCAAAGGGTGATTGATTAACACTGTTAAGTTTGTTTGTGGGAGAACTTGTCTGACTTGTTACCGTGACTGTCTGAGTAGAGGGCTTCGTGGAAAAAGAGGGAAAGAAACACACACAAACATGCGCATACATGGAAAATGTCACAGGGAAATGTCAGCCAAGCAAATCATATTTGGGAGCCACAGTTGAACTGGCCTAGCCTCTTTGTGTTGTGTTGTATCCCTACTCAGAGCTTGATGTATGTGGTATTTGGTCTTCGGCAATACATTTCTTCTTTAAATATTTATCACATTTCTTGGGGTACACCAGGTGAAATAAGAATATACATTTAATAGGTAAAACATTTCTGTTTTATAAAGCTTATTTATTATAGGAAACGTGCCAAAATTAATATATGCTTATCTTTTTATCAATAAAATACTCATTCCGTAGTCCAAAGACGTGCAGATGGGGCTATATTTGAATATACTGTAGTGAATTTTTCTTTGTAAGCGTATACTTTAAGCAATGTGGTTTTGAACAGCTAAGACCTAAGCTAAAAATACCCTACTATATTAATAGGAGTCTACTGGCCATACTTAGGAATGCTCTGAGGCCAAAATAGTTCACAGAATGCTACAATATTCTGTAAGAGAAAATAATAATTAGTCCTCCATAGCCCACATAAGTTCCAAATTTCACTGCTCTAACTGGAAACTTATGTTACTTGACATCAGACTGTTTAAAGCCTATTAATTTATTTGTTTGCTTATTTGTTCACTGGAAGGGTAAAATCAGAATGTGAATGGCATGCATCATTTTTATTTGTAAACTGTATCATACCAATCCTTAAATACATGAACAGGGTGCTTCTATATGTGCTATATAGAGAAGGACTTGTCTTTGCTTCAGGTGAAGTACATTATATATATGTATTGTGTGCGTGTGCATGTGTGTGTATATGTGTGTGTGCGTGTGTATATATGTATATGTATTTGTATAAAATCAACTAAGTTAATGTATCCAGAGATGCCTGTGTTCTTTTACTGGCTCACCATCATTTACGTAACACCTTTCAATAGGAACTTTAAAGTCCTGCCATGATAAGTGTATAGGGTAAATATCCTATTAAATGAAAGTAGCCAAACTTGAACAATTAATACAGCTGGCCTTTTGTTATTCTGCTTATTCTCTATTATTCATGAAAGTATCCTATTCACTGAAGTAAATTTTACAAATCTGAAATGTTCATTTAAATTTCATTCATCTCTGTTGAACTTATACGTCATTCTGAATCATTTTCTACCCCTCACATGCACACAAAAGATCAACAGGGCTGTCTGGCTGACTTGCTTCTTTTTATTCTGGGTAGTGAAACCAGCACAACAGTTGTGCCTTGAAACGCTAAAGCTGGGGCCAGGGATTTAGCTCAGTGGTTCGGTGGCCTGCCTTGCAAGCGCAAGGACCTGAATTCAATCCCCGGTACCAAACAAACAAACAAACAAAAAATGCTAAAGCCCACCCTAGCAGATGGAATCATCAGCATGCTCAGATGTGTGCTATACCTTGGGCTCCTAACTTTGGGTTCTAACAAAGACGGAGAACCCCAGTTTGAATATAACTGCCCTGTTCTACCAAGTCTTAACAGAATCTGATCCAATCCAGGTGCCCTGAGGAATTGTTAACAACAGAGCTGATCCTGGGTGTGAGATCAGAGTTTAGGGACACCATCAAGGGTAAGTGCAGTCCTATGGGGTCTTGGAGTGGGAGAGAGGGGTCATTCAGAGACTCAAAAAAGGACAGTGCCCTGAAGACAGGCTGGGAGTAAGAATGGTAACCAATGAGAATCATCAGTAAGGGAGGACTTGGTGGAATATGTATTTCATCCTCTTTCTTCCTTGCTTTAAATTTCTTGCCATGGTTTCCCTTTGGCTAAAGTCAGCTTGGAGCCCAAGGTCAAGGGGAAAGTTTTCGTATTCTTTGTGGGTTCCACTCTCTGTCTCTGGTCATACTGTCAGGTCATGAAATAAGGAGAGTTCTCGAGTGCAGAGTACATCCGGAGGGGTGAGAATAGATTAGTCTCATCCAGAGATCAGCTCAGACTCGGTGGAGAATATACAAGTTATGTCTTCTTCCTCCATTTACAGTGATTCTGTTCACTGAATCATTTGGTGGGGATAAGACAAAGGCTGGAAGTGATGAAACCAGAGGATGACATATTGTCGTGGAGAATTAGTAGCAGTTCGAGACTGAAAATGCTTCCAGTAGATGTAATTAATATAAAGTTTTATTCTACTAACTAAGAAATACATCTTCTTTATGAGTTATTTGCATACAACAGAGAAGTGGCTCTGGACGATAGCTCAACAGAAACCATTTTCTTATTGATATAAAAATGTATTTATCAGTACATGTGTGTGATACATAATAACTACTTTCATTATAGATGTTTCTAACATGTACATGGTGCATTTTAGTTCTTTTTAAAGTCCTCCCTCCCTCCAACCTTCCTCCCTTCATCTTTCATCTCTTTCCTATTTACAGTGGGTCTCCCTGGTTTTTTTAATCTATCTTTTATTTTGCTCTTTATACTTTGGATTCATGTGTGAGAAACTGTGTGGTATTTATGCTTGTGTGTCTAACTTATTTCACTTAACATTAAACATTCAATGTGTATCCTTTTTCCCAGAAATGAGTCAAATTTATCTTTCTTTATAGCAGAGTAGTATAACGTTGCACATAAATACAGCGGACCCTTGACTTACGAACTCACTTTGTTTTTGAGGACTGATTGGAGTTCGAGTCAGTCAACTGACAGTTCAAGCTCCTTCGCACAGCCTTCAAAGTCTCTTCCCTGTACGCAGGCAGATCCCACAGTCCATAGAGAGACCCTGGCCCAGGATTTCACGATTAACCTTAAAAGGAAAGGATGCTGTCATGTTCCTTTCAGAACACTTTAAGGGTTAAGCCTGTACCTGAGACCATTTGAAAGCATGAGCAGCTGCACTTGAGTCATAACTCAAGACTGTGGTTGTAAGTCAAAACTACAATTCCAGTCATAGCCCCAGTTGTTCATAGGTCAGGCCAGTTGCCACTCAAAGGTCCACTCTACCACATTTTCTTTATGCAATCATCTGTTAATAGACATATGTGCCATTTCTAAGCTCTGGTTATGATAAACTTGCTGAAGTTTTAAACATTTTAGGGAATATACCTAGTGAGGGAATGACTGGGCCTAATTTCCATTTTTTAGGGCATTTCGTATTGATTTTCATGATGCTTTTACTAGTTTACATTCCCACCACCAATGTACGGAGCTCCTTTCTCATGACAGCCTTGATAGCGTTGGTTATTATTTGATTTTTGGATGATTGCCATGCATTTTAGAGTAAGATGAAATCTCAGTGTTGTTTACCTCTGTGTTTCTGTAATGGCCAGGAAAGTTGAAAGTTTTTTTCTTGAATTTATGGGCTACTTGTAAATTTTCAGAGACTTCTCTATTCATTTTTGTTGCCTATTTTTTGATTGGGTTTTTTTATGTTGTGGGGTCTAATTTTTTTGAATTCTTTATATACTTTAGAAATTAGTTTTCTGTTGTAGATGCAACTGGCAAATTTTTTTCCATTATGCAAAATATTACTTACCTCTGTTGATTGTTTTCTTTGCTGTACAGAAGCTTTTTAATTGGA